CGGAAATACTTGACGGGTGGGCTGGCCAATGGGAGCGGACCTTGCTCGCGGAGGTGGGCGTTTCGGGGCACTACGCTCTGCCCCGAGGGTGGAAAGCAGGCCCGGGGTGGAAAGCGGGCCCGCGGGAACAAAGCCTCCCCGGCAGAGGCGGGCGCCGCGGGCGGGAACAGCCGCCCTGCAGCGTCGGCCGCGGCGCCAGGGCTGCCGGCGCCGCTCGTCTCCGAGCGGAGGGCGAGGCTGCCGCGTGGCTTCCCCGGGGAGAGGCCGGCCGCTCGCCGCGGCCTTCCTGCCCCTCGCAGGCACCGGCGGAGCCTCCGCGACGGGCGCCGCTGCTCCGGCCTGCCCGCCCCTTGCACGGCGGCCGCGGTCCTGCCTCCCCGGGGTCCGCGTCGTGCCCACTCTTCCCCGCGGGCGGCCCGTGTCCGCGGTGCGCCTCTCGACCCAGCAGGTGGGCCGGGCGGGGTTGCTCGGGGCGGGGACCGGCGGTTTGCGTCCCTGGTTTGGCCCGCGGGAGTCGATCGCGGGCGAGCGCTGCTCGGCCTCCCCGCCTCGGCCCTCCCGCGACGGGCGGCCGCGTCCGGCTCCCGTGGCGTCCCCGCCCGGGGCGGCTGGAGCGGCGCAGCGGCTCCCCGGTCAGGCCCCGCCCGAGCGCCTGCGCAACGGCCCGCTTTTCTGGGAGCCGAAGCCGCGTGCTCCCGCCGCCGTTTTTTGCCAAGTGGCCGCAGGGAGGTGAGCGGCTCGCCTGCCGCCCTCCCCGTGCTGGCTTCCTCACGGCCGCAGCTCGCCCGCTTGCACCCCGAGCCACTCGTTTCTCCCGCGGACTTTCCCGAAGGCCCTTCCTCCTCCCCTGCCCGCAATCCCGTTTCCGGGCACGCTGCCTGTTGCAAGGCACCCGCCGCTCCCCTCGAGTCCGTGCGACCCCTCCCCGTTCTTCCCCCGCTGCCAGGATCGCCCCCCGTATGCCCACTCTAGTCAAGGACACCGCTGCTGTTAGAATGCCTCCTCTCCCTTCGCATGCCTGCTTCATTCCGCCTCGCCTGCCGAGCACCTGCTTCGTTGCGTCCTATAAATGATGCCCCGCTTAAGCAACCGGGCCTTTAACTTCCAAGTCCACTTGGTGGTTCAGCGCTCAACTTGGGGCCGCTCAGTACTCGACGCTGGCTGAAGGAGCCGCTTGGGCAGCCAAGGGTTACTGTGGACGGCTGGTCAAAGCACGCAGGTCTTAGAAAGGCTGCTGAACTAATGGCCTGCAGGTGGACTGCACCTAAATGTAAAGTAGCCAAACAGCAAGAACTGACGTCTTGAATAAACCTGCAACATGCAGCGACCTGGCGCCGTTTGAAAATGGAAGCTGAGGAACAGCAAGCATAATGCCAGGATGGGCAGTCATGGCTACCGCACGTTCCATGTCGGTTCTGCTCTCAGAACTGCCTCTGCAGGACGATCTGAGCCGTCTTGTCTGAGGAAAAATTTCAGGGACTAAAATGGAAGTGGAAAGGGTGGGGGGGGGGGAATCAGTGATCTAAACTGGGAAGAGGAAAAGAATTGCTAAAAGGAGCCGTTAGCTACAGCGTACATTTAAAGCAAGTCTGTAAACCCCAGAAATCTGTTAAAACAGGATTAAATTTAATATAAATAAACCTGTTGTGAGCAAACATCACCCTAAGACAATGCAGTAGAGCAGGCAGCAGCTCAGGAGACGCTGGTGTACGCGAGGTCTTGGGCAGAGTTGCTAACAAATCCATCTGGGCCCTTGGCAGGCCAGGCGGGGCCCTCTGGCTCCCTCTGCGCAAGCGATCGGCGCGCTGCTGCGCCAGTCATTGCTCGCTGTGCTCGCATCGCCCCGGTGCTCTGCTGCCCGCTCGCCTTGTGGGCACGTCTGGCCCAGCTAAGCCTGCCGCTTCCCGGTTGTCCTCGTTCGGACGGACATGGGGAGGGGGCCCCTCACTGTCCATTCCAGCTGACTGGAGCCCACCCGGCAGGCTCGTTCCCTGCGCAGCGGGAAGTGAACTGCGGCCAGATGCCTTGGGAACGCGAGCGGGCTTCCTCGTATTTTGTGCACAGATGCGATCTCCTTAAAGAAAACCTGGAGTTGGGATGCTCCTTCCCTGGAATCCCCAAAACCTCGTGCTTCTGGCCAGGCAATTCAGCAGCTCAGCCCTCTGTCTTTAATAGCACAGTCCATCAATCAACCAACCATGAAGCCCTGGTTTTGCCGGGCCTTGCTGACGGGGCAAGGAGCCCAAGAGCACCCCCATCACTTCCCGTCTTCACACAGCAGCCCGCCGTTGGATGAACTGCGGGAGAGGCCCCCGCTGAACAGTGGGGAAGGGTCTCCGCAGGGCCGTGGCAGGATCGCCAAAGCCGGCTCCTGCAGTTTCACTTGCGATCCCAGAGGCGCACCAGTGAGCGGCCAGTAGCACCGCTCCATGAGCTTCAGGGCTGCTGCGCCAGGCAGGCCGTGGGCCTCTACCGACGGGGGGCTGCAAGGCAGGCAGGGCCCTCCTGGCCCCATCCCAGGCATTCGGCACGAGTCGCTCAGCAGGCCTGCCGTCGCCTCCCAGCCCGGGAGGGCGACCACCCCAGCATGTCCTCCCCAGGACCAGCGCCTCGGGCTCCAAGGAGCGAGGGCGACAGCGCTAGGCCCCCACCTGCTGGAGCAGCAGGTTCTTCTTGTAGCAGGCCAGACTGCAGAGCGGGACCCCCGTGCGGGAGCAGGAGTAGCGCCTGAGGTTGGGGCAGCCGCTGACCCCGCAGGGAATGGGCGGGGGCACAGAGGGGGCGAGGGAGGGTAAGAGGGGCAGGGCGACTCCCGGGGGGAAGGACACGGTGATCCCGTTGGCGGCGCTGCGGTAGCAGACTGTGGGAACGAGCGCCCCTTTGGCCTTCCGCTCCCGCAGCGTCTTCACTTTGGCTTTGCTGGTCTTGGTGAGGCGCTCGATGGTTTGGTTCTTGTTCTCCTCGGCCTTCTTCGCGGCCTGAAGGCGCCGCTTCCGGGCGCGCTCCTCCCGCTTCACCAGCATCTCCTCCGTCAGCTCCTTCGCCTTGTAGCCCATTGGCAGCTCCAGCAGGGGCTGGCTCTGTTGCTTGTGCAGGAGCGCTTTCTGCAGCCGGAGGCAGAGAGAGAGCGAGCGAGAGAAAGGGGGCAGGTTCAGAGACGGGAGGAGGGCAGCTGAGGCCTCCATGAGACCGAAAGAACTGGCGGGGGGGAGGAGTCCTCAAATCGTGTAGCCATGGATGCCAGGAGCAGAGAGGCAGAGGTGCATGAAGGCGGGGGGTGACCCGGCCTGCCTCTCCCGCCTGCATCCTCAGCTCTGTGGAGCCTAGCCACGTTTCAGCTTCTTTTCTGAATTGGGGCCGACAGTTACCTCCAGCGGGGAAACAGGCTGACTTGCCGAGAGTACAAGACGCTAGAAAGGCCCTTCCCACTCAAGGGCAGTGGCACCACGATAGGAAAGCCCAGAGGGAAAGGGAAGCCTATCCCCCCTCCCCCACCCCAGGCTGCCACCACCACTTATGGCCTGAACGGAGATCCCACCTCCCTGCCAGGCTGGAAGCAGAGAGAGAACCGCAAACGCACACCAGCGTGCCAGCAGGCCAGCTCCGAGGCTGGGCAGCCAGGACCACCGCCTCGCTCATAACGCAAGGGCCCCAGCAGCTTCTACTCCCGTGCAAGCCACTGACCCTGCCGCAGGTGCATGGGGAGCTGAGGCTGCCTCGAGGAGCAGGCCAAGAGGCTGTGCTCAGTGAGGACCCTCCCGGCAGCGTCTCCAACGTGGGGCCTGCATGGCCTCCAAGTCGTTTCCCCCTCTGCCAGTCAATGCAGTGACCCCTCTGCTCCCCGCACGCAGGGCCATGCTGGAAGGAGATGAGGGAGCGGCACATTCCCCACGCAGGACTTGTGGGGCCAACAGCGTCTTTGGCGAGGGAGCAGCGTTAGCCTCGCTCTAGCCAAGTTTCAGGAAAAGCCCTTCCTCTGCGCTTTGCAAGTGAATGAAGAAATTGAGGAGTGGAGAGAAAGAAGGGAAAACGAGTCTGAGAGAGAGAGAGCGCGCAAACGCAGGAAGCCACGCAGCAAAGCACTCACGGAGGGTACACAACGTGCTCACACACAAACACAGGCGAGGGGCTTTCCCAACATTTTTGGAACTGACCCGCCACCTGGGCAGTGGCCAATTTGCGCTGGTGGCCCGGGCACTCTGCAAAATGCCAAACAGGCCCATGAAGCCAAACGGTCCCTGTTCCAGAGTTATCTGCAGACCTGAGGTCTCCTCTGGCCCCACCAGGGAAAACAGTCCTTCCAGGGTGAGAAGTCAGCCGCTTGCACGCCCTTTTGGCTCTTCCGGGCCTCCAGTCACCACATAGCCCACTCCAGGGAAAGAGCAGTTAGACCTCCCCCCAGTTTCCTGCCCACACCTGTGGGAAGGCATCCCGCAACAGCAACCTTCCGTCCTCACCTGCCTGGCTGTGAGCAGCGACTCATCCACCTCCTTCTTGAGCTCCCCGTTGTCATCTAACTCCCCTCGCTCCAGAGCATCCAGCCAGCGCTGCTCTTCCTCTTCCTCACGAGCCGGAAAGCCCATTTCTGCATCAAGCTCCGGCAGTGGAGATGGCTCCAAGTTGCTGTCCTCATCTAGGTGCAAGAAGAGTTGGCCTTTACTGGGGTTAATAAGGACACAGTATTTTCTGTGGCTGCGCCAGCGAGCTTGAAATGCTCTGGGACCATGGACAGAGAAAGAACTGTTATTGCTAGCACACGGCTGGCTGCAAGGGTATTCCTTATGCCTGAAGTGCTTTTACGATGCCGCTCTGTTCCTATGAAGCCCTCTCCCCCAGGCAAGCAGCTCACTCCCTCCTGCCTGGAGCCAAGCAACACGGGTCCTCTCCACCTCATCACGAGAACGGCCCAGCCAAGCGAATCGGGGGCACCCTTCCTTAGCTGCGCTCTCTGGGAGCCTTCGCTGTACCAAAGAGGCTTCACAGAAGATGCATCGCCCACTCACCTAACCATGCTCGATACTGTTCGATGGGAACCCCCTCCATGGGCTCATCCTCATCATCCACAACCATGAGTGGCGAAGGGGAGCGCGGCCTCTCGGGGATGACCGTAAAAGTTGGCACACTGGGAACACAAGAGGAAGCCAAGGTCACAGCAGGGATGGCCAAGCCCACGGGAGGCGCTCGCAGGTTGACCAAGCCCGAGGCTGAGGACTGGTGGGAACGGCCAAGCAAAGCTGGCTCTGAGCAACAAGCCTTGCAATGCATTCCGAGAAATCTGTTTTGTAGCTCAGGGAGGTCGGAAAGGTTTGAACCTTACAGATGCAGCAGAAGAGACCGAGTCTGACAGGCAGGGCTGCCGTTTTGACCCTTGTTGACCTCTCTTGATTTGCTTGGATTTGACAAACATTGCTTTCACCAGAAACACTGAGCCAAGCTGGCCTGTAACTCCAACGCCTGAATGCACAGCAGGCGCTCTCCACGGCCTCCCTGCCCCGGGCCTCTTCCCCAGGGCTGCCTCTTGCCCACCCGCGGCCAGCGGCTGCCCGGCGTACCTCTTGGTGCCCAGGATCTGGCCGCCGAGCTTGATCTTGAGCTTCAGCTGGGGCTTGGGGAGGGCCGCGCCCAGGGCCGCGGGCGCCGCGCCCGCCTCCTCCCGGTGGTGCCTCTTCTTGTGCTTCTTCTTGTGCTTCTTGTGCTTCTTCTTGTGGGACGCATGATTGTTGGATTCGTCCTCGTCGCCTAAGGGGGACGGAGAGGGAAAGGCTGCCGGACGGGACTCGGAACCTCGCGAGCCCGTGCGGACCGGCTACGGCGCTGGAGGGAGGCGGGCGGGCGGGCGGGCGGGCGGGGAGCCGCTCCTGAGGCGCCCCGGCGGCCAGGCCTCCCCCGGCACGGGCCTCCGGAGCGGCCGGCACAGGCAGGGCCTCCGCGGGGCCCGCCCAGAAACCGGCGGCCGGGCTGGCTCCGGGGAAGCCGCGCCGCCGCTCCCGCCC